AGTGCCAGGTGCTTGCGATTGTGCTTGCTGTGCTCGTGCGACGACATTCTGCGGGACGTGCGTTCAGCCCTCAGCGCCGCGATTTCTTCAGACCTTTCGCGAAGTAGCTGCAGCAGTTCGCTCAGACGGTCCTGCGTGAGCGTGGTGACGTCGATGTGTTCAGCCATGTCGAAGGGCGTCGGCTCAGCTTAGTCTAGGCGCAATCGTGGCTGCACGCGTTTACGAGAGAACGCGAGGACAGCGGCTCCTAGGTGTTAAGGGGCGTGAGTTGTCAGGATACTGAACGAGAATGAATGAACTAGCAAAGAGTTGGGTACAAGTACTAACCCTAATTGGGTTGTACCCCTTATGGGCTACCCCACTATAGCCTACACAATATAAGCTATACAACATTTTGACACACCCCCATAGGCAAAGTGGGGGAGAACAAGTGGTCATAAGACCAGTCAAGAAAAGCAAAGCAAGCTCGGGGTGGATCACAAAGTCACCACACAGTCCGAGCACAAGCAAAGGGCCACAAGGCCAGTTCACATGCAGAGTTATATAAAAGAGAACAAACAATACAGTGATCATACCCTAGCAAGTGTAAGCATGCAGGTATATATATAGATCACATTACAAGCAAAGTCACGCAATAAGCAAATGAGGAAAAGTAGGCACAAGGCCTAACACAGTAGAGAAGCGCTAATGATCACCAGGCGGAAGTGCGCTGGCGAATACATCAGCAGTGTTGGCCCTAGTGGACACGTATGCAAGACGAAACTGGCTACGCTGCTGCAACTCTCGAGCAAGGAAGTATCACAGAGCGATGTGCTTCGTTTTGTGCTCCAGTTTGTGCTCCTGACACAAGGCAATCATGGCCTTGTTGTCTACGTACAGAACTGGAGGCGAACGAGGCTGCTCTCCCAAGTCAGTCAGCAGGTAGGTGAGCCAGCGTAGCTCCTGTGCAGCAATGGCCCCTACGTAGATCTCAGCCTCACAACTGGAGCTGAGAACCGAAGACGAGCGGGTAGACCGCCAGGAAACAGAGCCGGAACCGAGGCTGAAGGTGTAACCCTGTGACGACCGCTGCGTAGCTGAGTCGTCAACCCAAGAAGCGTCTGCGTGACCGGTGAGGACAACTGGACCTCGTCCTCCAAGCACGAGCCCCATGCCCGACGTACTGCACAAGTAACGCAGTACCCTCTTCGCAGCATCCCAGTGCACCTTTCGGTGCCTGCCGGGAGCCACGTAGCGAGCCACGAGGCTGACAGGGTACGCGAGGTAAGGTCGCGTGCACGTCATCAGGTACATGAGGCAACCCACAAGCTCTGGGTACAGACCACTTGGCTCTACGGACTCGTCCGAAGGTGGAGCTGAGAGCGAGTGGCTGGTAGACAGAGGAGTGGGCTGTGGCGAGGAGAACTGGAAGCCGAAGTGCTGAAGGACCTGGTGCACCATTTGTGACTGAGTCAGTGTGATGGTGCGGCGTGCTCTGTCCCGGGTGATCTGCGAGCCAAGATAGATGCGCAGTTCACCCAGGTCAGTGCAGGTGTGTCTCTTCTGCAGCTCCGACTTCACAAGGGTCAGTGCCTCAGTGTCAGCAGTGGCAAAGACAAGGTCGTTGACGTACACGAGGACATAGAACGGCGGCAGCGAAGTGTCGGTGCGTAGAAACAGCGACGGGTTAGCAGTAGAAGAAGCAAACCCAAGAGCCGCAAGTGTGGTCCTCAGTGTGTTGTGCCACTAGCGAGGCGCCTGGCGAAGACCGTAGACTGGCCGCCGGAGGCTCCACTGGGTACCTGCAGGAAACGACCCAGTGAAGCCAGGTGGGCGGCGCAGCCAGATCTCCTCGTGCAGGCTGCCCTGCAAGAAAGCTGTATTGAAGTCCAGAGAGTGCAACTCGTAGTCACGTTGAGCAGCGACGTGCAGCAACACCCGAAGAGTAGTCATCTTCGGGGTGGGAGAGAAGGTCTGAAAGTACCCGTAAACCCCCGTATATAGGACCCCCTCCAGTTGTAGACCCCCGGGTCTATAATACGGAGGGGGGTACTCTATTCGAGTCTATCCGAGTTATACCCCCCTAAATGGCTCCTGACATTATAAGACCCCCCACATCCTAGAGAAGTGTGTATTTTCAGCGAATGCAATGGAAAATGGTCCTATTCCATGTTCAGGTACAGACATCGTGGGCTGCGTGGGCTCCCGCTGGGCTCCTTATCTGTCTCATCGCTGCTAGAGGAACTTGGCGTTGGCATGACGGGCCTGGGCGAAAGCCTAAGAACAGGAGGCTTCTGGACTTTCTTGCGGCGCCCGCGTCGAGCATCGGACGTCCCAGCATCTGGTGATGTCACCATGGCGGCTAAAGTGGGGATGAAGTGGCTGCTAGCTTCGAGGTGAAAAAGGAACAGGCAACCATCTTTTAGATGGCAGCCAGCCGAGCACAGTAAGGGGGGAAGAAACTGGAGGAGGAAGTGAAGTCAGCCCTAAAAAACAAGGACGTGCCAGACGACAGTACGGGAGTATGAAGCTCCCGCCCTATAGGATCGCACGAAGCGTGCATGGGGTGTGCAGGTCGAGGCGACACTGCGCGCCGGGCCCATCAAACGGTGCCCTTCTCGCTTATGTCAACACCAAGTGATGTTTGTGCCCAATGGGAGGAGGCTTTTAGATAGGGTACGTGATGATGTGGGTTTGGCCCAGGAAGAGACCAGTTCGAGTATATTTGGGAGGTGCTAAAAACGGAGCAATTCCAATTCACTTCTTTGAGCTCCAAAACAGTAGACTTATAGAAGTCAATTTGAAAAGACCCGGGTCTTATAAAATATGTACCATTTAATTATACCCCCCAACTTTTTAAGGCCAGATTATCATAATACCCTAGGGTCTTATATACGGGGGTTTACGGTAGTCGACCCCCTGTCGCTGACCGAAGCCTCGAGCAACGTAACGCGCCTCGAAGGCAGGCGGAGAACTCGGCGGCCGCTTCACCCTGAAAATCCACATGCCATCGACTATGTTCGCCCGAGACGGGGAAACTGCGTCGACATAGGTGCCTGTGGACTTCCAGGATGCCATCTCAGCATCCATGGCTGCCTGCCACTGAGAGGAGTAAGGACCCGTAATCGCCTCTGCGTAAGAGCGCGGGGTCGGGATGTCTGGTGCATCCAGGTCTCCCTCAAGGGCAAGCAGCATGGAAGCGAAACGAGGTACAGCAGCTGCAAGACACTCAAAGTCCTCCTGCCTGTCCTCAAGGACATCCGTGTCAAGAGCACACTCACCCCCGACGGACGGAGGACTGGCAGATGCAGACTCAGCAACAAGAGCAGTGGCGTAGTCTAGACGACAGGCAGCAGCAAAGTCAAGCAGCTCAGTAACGAGGGCAGAGTACTGAACGAGAATGAATGAACTAGCAAAGAGTTGGGTACAAGTACTAACCCTAATTGGGTTGTACCCCTTATGGGCTACCCCACTATAGCCTACACAATATATGCTATACAACATTTTGACATGAGTCCCTTCGAGTGAAAAAATCAAAAGTTGATTTCCTGGGGTGCGGAGATGCGCGGTCCGAAAAGGAAAGAGGCTCTGATACCAAGTGTTACGAGTGCAATGAATCGAGGTAGCGAGGATTGCACTAGAGTGTTCAATGAGTACAAAGTATGAGGGAAGGCATGAGCGAATACTTATGTGCGAAAACATGCAACGGTTACGCGGTGCGTACGAGCTAGCAAGTGCTACGTTGGCATGGAGGTTCGGGCTAGTCCCGAAGCGTAGGCCGACCCGGCTGGGCCAGCGATGCAAGGTTTGGTAAATCAGTGCGCGCGAAGTTGGCGAAGCCCCGTTAGCAGTAACGGGCGAACAATGGCTGCTGCTGTACGCGATGTTGATGGTCGTGGTAAGGAATGTCGAGAAAATTTCTTACACACAGCCAGGTCGTCAGTCATGATGGCTCGTCATATACGGTACATTTCTTTTGCAGAAAGCCCTGCTCGAGTGGAAACCCTAAATTCACATATTTAGAAAGCTTGCTTTCTTTCATGTAGCAATGGCATCGTCTCATTTCAAATGGGTTTAGTACAATTTGAAATCCAAGCAGCCTATCAGACTAATGTGCTAACACATTTCAAGGGGTGGGTGGGCGGGAAAAATCGGCTAAACCGTTTGAAAATGAGAGACGTGGGTGGAGGGAAATGACCTCCAGCCCACGTTTTGTACTCCAAAACGGGCGTATAGCGCGGTTCGTCGCTGCCCATTCCTACATTACAGACTGCTTCGCTTTCAAAATACGAAATTTTGAAAAGCGTTACACTTTTAAAAATATTCATAATTCAATGGATCACTACACAATGACAGCAGTATATGATGGACGGCATATACCGGTACATTTTTTTTCTGTAAGCATTTCCAAGATAAATCACACAGCGGCTAAAAAGTCCCTGTCCCAGAGCAGGCGGGGTTTTTATGAAGCTCCTTCATCTGCACATAAGGGTTGCGAAGGCCAGCACAGTTAGGCTCCCAAACAGCCACAGCAGAAAGGGTGCAGTTTCTACGGCAGAGATCATAGGACATCTCGTGAATCACGTCAAAGGCGAGCATCCACGCCCCCACGGACACATCCTCGTTTGTGAACATGCCCAGCCTGCGATCAAGAGAGTAATGAGACCACAGATGGCTTTTGTGAACACTGAACATGACTGAGGCGCCTCCTCAACATGCATGCTCAGCCTGCGGTCAAGAGTGTAATGAGACCAGAGACGGGAAAACAAGAGTGGGGTTTCATACAAAAAATAGCTTTTCCTTGCAGTGCTTGGACTGGAACGTTGCCATATACGTCCCACCTCGTTACAAGATAAGCGCGGCGCTCCTGTTACTCACCAATCGTTGGAAATGAAGTTGGCACTCATATCCATGCACCTCCACCAATGAGAATTTTGATAAGGCATGGCTCAGTAACCAAAGGCATGCATGGCTCAGTAACCTAAGGCATCCATCGCTCAGTAACCAGAGGCATGCATGTCTCACCCGTCCTCTGGGATGGCGTTGAGGATTTCAACCACGCCATAGGAGAGGGAATAGATGGAGCCAAAAGCATGCACGAAATAATGCGACCCCAGCAGCTCCGAATTGGGCTCAAACCTGCGCAGAACAAAGCACAAGAACAGTGGGAAACAAAAACGGTAAGAGGTCAGGGATAAGTCGACTCAAAACTCGACTTATCAAACAAAAACGGTAAGAGGTCAGGGATAAGTCGACTCAAAACTCGACTTATCAAACAAAAACAGTAAGAGGTCAGGGATAAGTATGAGAACAGGAGAAATCGGGTGACGAATAGGTTGTTGCATTGTTGTCAAGACAGCTCAAGGGAACAGCAGGAGAGGTACTCTGGCCCAAGTGTTGCCAAAGGCAGTTAGAGCACATTAGCAATACTAGGATGACCTAGAAACTAAGGAAGATTCCGGCGAACAGAGTACACTGTACAGTATGGAGTCATGCACAGAGCGCGATTCCATGCTGAGTCAAGTGGCATACTGTCAAAAGGAATGCCACAGAGCGCGATTTAGGTGCAATTTGGAAACTCACCACCTCTTTTTGGGGTCAGTAATCACAGTTCCCCTCTTGAAGCATCCAAGGTACGTTCGAGGCGAGTCCCTTGGCCTGGCGATGAGAGAAGAGAGGCGCTCTGCAGGGAAAAGGGCAGAAAGAGGCAGCAGTAGGCAAAACTTCAATGCTGCCAACAACATTTGATCCTCAGCATCACCATCTTCAGGACAAACAAAAAAAAAACAGCACAGAAACATATCTCACACACAATCGTAGTAGGCACATGGCTGATGCGTGGGCTCAAATGGATGTTCACAATTTATCTGAGTACCACCCAGCTTCATAGCACTTGAAGTTTGAGATGTGAGATGGGCGCACCTGGTATGAGGTAGATGTCATCGTCTGCCTTGATGTAGAAGTCTGCTTCATAGAGCTTGAAGAGAGATGTGAAGTACACGAGACTGGGGGACATGGAGAGGAAATCATGAAAGCAGGTGGAAAAAGGCGTGAAAAGAGTTCAGGTATGCGGAAGGTATGAGGAGGGTATGAAGAGGGTATGAGGAGGGTATACGTGAGGAAGAAGCATAATGGCGGCACGTGAGGAAGAAGCATAACGGCAGCACGTGAGGAAGAAGCACAATGGCAGCACGTGAGGAAGAAGCATAATGGCAGCACGTGGGGAAAAGGCATAACGGCGGCACGTGAGGAAGAAGCATAACGGCAGCGAGCAACGGAGAACCTCACGTTGCAAGCAGCAAGCAAGCACCTTACGTCTGGCACCTCACGCTGCCAGCAAGCCAGCACATCACGTCTTGTGGTTGAGATTGAGACAGTGTAAGCACCTCACCTTGCAAGCAGCAAGCAAGCGAGCACCTCACGACTTGTGGTTGAGATTGAGATAAGGCTCATCCACATCAACACGAAAACAATTAGCCACGCGCGCGCCATCCTGATTGTAAATAAACAGCTGAAACGTCATCATAGAGCGAGCACCTCATGTCTTGTGGTTGAGATTGAGGTATCCCTCGTCCACATCGATGCGAAGGAAGTCCCCGTGAGTGCTGTTCTCCGCCTGCATCAGCTGCTCTTCCTTTGCGCTCGCGCTGTGCCCGACTATGAACCGAAACGTCAGCCCCAATGCTGCTTCCACGCTGGAGAGTATGTGCATGGTTGAGAACAAGGAGGAAGAACCCATGAGTGCTGTTATCCCATCCCATCCCATCCCATCCCATCCCATCCCATCCCATCCCATCCCATCCCATCTCTCGTCCACGGCGCTCCTGTCATGTACCATCCCATGAGGGTAGATGAGAGCATCGCAGTGCAATATAAGTACCAGGAGCGTCGACGTTTCTACTCTACATTAGACCTCACATGCCCCACGACACGCGCCATGACATGCGCCATGACATGCGCCATCTCCCCACGACGTTTCCCCACGGATGATGACCTACCGCGCGTGCTCCTCGGGTGTGCCGGGGAACCACGTCTCGCGGAGCAGTGCGCGTTTCCTGCGGTTTTTGAAACCAGTCTGCACCCCGACGAACCCCAGCACGCGCTTCCTGCCCGGGTACCGCAACCGATCTGCACCCCTCTCGTCCACTCCTCGCGTGTCCGCCTCATCCATTTCTCGCGCGTTCGCCTCTTCGCTGATCCCGAGGTTCGCCGCCTCGTCCATTTCTCGCAGGTCCGCCGGCTCGTCCATCATCCCTTGCCGGTCCGCGCCGCCGGCCAACGGTCCGATCTCGGCGGCGGTTGCTTCAACTGGCAGCTTTACGAACTTGGATTCACTACTACTCCTTCTCCATGGTGGGGAATAGCCGGAGCAGCTGTATCTTATAACGAGGACGTCTGCAAGGACGAAGAGCGCGACGGCTAGGAGTAGGAAGAGCGACCACGACACGCGCCATGATGACGTCAGCACTCGCGGCGCGACGGACGTCTGACTCTTGAAGCTCATGATGAGCCTGCTAGAGCCAATGAACGGCCCGGGGACCTTTTGAGAACTCTCTTAGTATTGGTTCTGGGAGCAAATCGAGACAGGGTTGAGGAAAACACAACTTAGGGCTGCAGTCGTCTCGTCCCAGCAAGCAGCCAAGCTTCTGCCAGCGCCTCCCACACCCCATCATCCGCCTCCTAGTACACCCCATACGATGTTCCTGTGCTGGTCAACGTCGGTCTTTAGGCAGGGACGTCAATCGGCAGTCAGCTCACTGGCGCGGACAGAGACGAGACGAAGCACTAGAAACCCAATCGCGAAAATGCGGTAATGCGCGCCAGGTTCACCGTCACTTTTATGGTTGATTTCTCCCGTCCCCCACGCGCAAGATCTAAGGCAGTGTTCAGGAGCCAGTGATACAGTTCAGTATACAGTAGCGAGGGATGTGGGGTTCATTGTTTTTGCCCGCGGGCAGCGGACGTAACGTCGCCGACTAATTTCAATGAAAGCTGGACTTCGCGCGTGGAGGGAATTGTATATCCCATTCCACCCGCCTGCCAAACTCGACTTGCCTGAAGTTACGTTTTGAAACGATCGTTCGGTAAACAGACGGTTCCGTTTCCCGATTGAAACCGTCCGTTTCCCGAAACAGCTCTTTTGAAAGCGAACCGTAAAGTATAACATTTTTGAGGTTTTGAATCTGTGCGACGAAAATCGATGTTACGCAGGGTGGCGGGCTTCGCAATTTTCGCGCAGGGACAGATGCGGCTCGGGTGTCAGATTCGAGACACAAAATTGTTGCCTCGGTTCCACGCTCGCACCATCCAGAGAGAATTGCTCCAGTGCCTTGTTTGGTGATTCGCTCTTGCCCACGTGTCCCCGAATTGCTCGAGTGGCCATCCAATTCAGTGATAATTGCTCGAGTGGCCATGCCAGGGCATTTTCGATGTGTTTTTTTTCCCTGGCACATAACCCTACAAGGGTTCGTACCCACGAAATTCCTCGTTCGCACAACAGTAGATGCGCGGTCATTTTCGGCCCAATGCGCGACCAATGAGCGCGCGGGCAATTACATCAGCGATCATAAACTGCAACGCCAGAGCATAAATGCACGAACATATTATTGACCGCGCACGATTGGTCGATAATATGTTTCTTGCCCTTTTTGGCAATGCGCGTCCAATCACACACGGTCATATAATTCACGACCATATATTTAGGCGATAAAGCTTCGCCCAACAACCAATATGAGCGCGCATATACTACCATTAGTTCTATCATATGTCCGGTCCATATAAAACCATGCATATCAAATGCCATATATATATTCTCTGCTATTGATTTAAGCCCGTCGTACTAGAAATAATATTGTGTCAAACTTATATGATCTAGACTGTGTAGGCTGTAGCGGGTTAGACACTAAGGGGTACACAATTCTAGGGTTTGATATTTGTATCACTCTCATTCCTTAGTCATTCATTCTCGTTCTAGTTTTCTCATGGTATCGAGCAGGTTCCCTAGTGGGAACTTTTCCTAGGGCCCACCGAATATCGAATTTTTTTCCTGCCCAGAGCGCGCTTAGCCCCTGCCCGAGTCGCGCCATCTGACGGCCCCTAGCGGCCCCTCTCACGGCCCCTCTCACGGCCCCTCTCACGACCCCTCTCACGGCCCCTAGCGGCCCCGTCGTGCCGCCCTCGCGGCCCAGTCACGCCACCCCCGCGGCCCCGTCGCGCCGCCCTCGCGGCCCCGTCGCGCCGCCCTCACGGCCCCGTCGCGCCGCCCTCGCGGCCCCGTCGCGCCGCCCTCGCGGCCCCGTCGCGCCGCCCTCGCAACCCTGTCGCGCCGCCCTCGTGGCCCCTCGCGGCCCCTCGCGGCCCCTGACGGCCCCGTCGCGCCGCCCTCGCGGCGCCTCGTTGCCCACCCTTGCGGCCCCTCGCGGCCCCTCGCGGCCCCTCTCTCGGCCCCTTTGTGGCCCGCCGCGGCCCCTCCTCAGCCGCCGCCGCACCTGCCCCGGCCGCAGCAGCCGCCACCACCGACGGCAGCCGCCGCCGCCGCCGACAGCAGCTGCCGCAGCCACCACCGACGGCAGCAGCCGCCGCCGCAACTACCGTGTCCGCCGCCGCCGCCCCTGCCTCGACTGCAGCAGCCGCCACCTCCGACAGCAGCAGCCGCCGCCACCTCCGACAGCAGCAGCCGCCGCCACCTCCGACAGCAGCAGCCGCCGCCACCACTACCGTGGCAGCCGCCGCCGCCGTCAGCAGCAGCCGCCGCAGCCGACAGCCGCAGCCGCCGCCGCAGCTGACACCTTCAGCCGCCGCCGCCCCTGTCCGCCGCGGCGCCCTGGACCCTGGAGCCGCTGCCACTGCTGCAACTGCCCCTGGTCTCTGGAGCAGCAGTCCCTGCAGCAGCTGCGGTGCCCTCGCCCTGCGATAGTGGCAGCCTCACCCCTGCCGCTGTCTTACTCCTACCCTTCTTGCCACTCGTGAGCACTGCTGTTCCTGCTGTTACTGCTACTATTGCTACTACTGCTCTCCCTACTACTGCTACTTCTCCTGGCCTGGCCAGATGCAGCTCCAGCGCCGTCCGCGTGAGTCCCTCACCCCCCAGCAGCTTCGTGAGTGGTACTCTACTTGGGGTTGTCGGAGTGGCCGTAGTGAGAGTCGTTCTGACGTGGGTAGTTCGGGAGCTGCTTGTAGTGGCCAGGTGCAGCTGCAGCGTAGTCCGCGCGCGGTCCTTTCGCCCCAGCAGCTTCGTGAGTGGTACGCTACCTGGGGTTGTCGGGGTGACCGCAGTGGGAGTCGTCCTGGAGTGAGTAGTTCGGGAGCTGCTTCGCGTGCCCAGGTGCAGGTGTCGCGTCGTCCGCGCGCGGTCCTTTCGCCCCAGCAGCTTCGTGAGTGGTACGCTCAGCTTAGAGGGTCACGTGGTACTGCTCGCTGGCCGTACGTCATTCGCACTGGTGCTCGGACTGGCCAGCCCTGCGGGACGCCTGGTCACACAGAGTCCCGCTGCTTCGCCCGGCTGAGCGACGCCTGGCGTACGGAGTTTGGCGACGAGGCTGAGCTCCCCGACTGGGTGCAGCTGCTTGGGCAGAGGGTAGATATCTATGGTCTTGACTATGATGCCATTCTCACTGTCATGTATGCATTGCCTACTAGTGATGGGGGTACCTGTAACCTGTGTGTTCCGCCTGACCCGGGCATTGAGGCTGCTGCTCTAGGTGCTGGTGAGGCTGCTGCTCTAGGTACTGGTGAGGCTGCTGCTCTAGGTACTGGTGAGTCTGCTGCTCTAGGTACTGGTGAGGCTGCTGCTCTAGGTGCCAGTGAGTCTGCTGCCCTAGGTGCTGGTGAGTCTGCGCTCTCAGGTACCGCGTCGGCTCCGGCCACTCACACCTTCACCCTTGACTCGGGTGCTTCCCGCTCCTTCTTTCGAGACCGCACCACGCTCACGCCGCTTAGTCGGCCAGTGGCAGTCTCCCTGGCAGACCCCTCTGGGGGCCCTGTCCTTGCCCACTTCTCCACTGTCCTACCGTGTCCGGCGGCACCTTCTGGCACCCTGTCAGGTCTTTACCTCCCCTCGTTCTCTACGAACTTGGTGAGTGGTGCTGACCTCCAGGATGCAGGGGTTCACCAGTTCACTCCTGCGAGTCGGCGAGTGACTCACTGTACCTGTGCTCGGACGGGCCGACACTTGGCCACGTTTACCCGTCAGACGGGGTCGAGCCTGTACACACTGACTACTGAGTCTCCTCCAGTCGCTGAGTCTGCTCAGGTAGCCGCGTCGGGTCAGGTGTTTGCTGCGGCGTCCAGGTCTGGTCCTGAGTCTGCCCCCTGCTCGTGTCGTCTCCTGTCTCACCAGACTCTCCTCTGGCACCACCGCCTTGGTCACCCCTCCCTGCCTCGTCTTCAAGGCATGGCCTCCCGTGTCCTTGTCTCTGGTCTCCCCCGGTCCCTCCCTCCCCTTCCTCCGGGGCCTGCCCCCACCTGCGTTCCCTGCGTCGAGGGGCGGCAGCGCGCTGCTCCTCACTCCTCCGAGTTTCCTCCGACAGAGGCTCCGCTGCAGACGCTTCACATGGACGTGTGGGGCCCAGCCCGCATCCGTGGACAGGGTCACGAGCGTTACTTCCTGCTGGTGGTTGACGACTACTCGCGTTACACCGCAGTCTTCCCCTTGCGCAGCAAGGGTGAGGTCACTGAGGTGTTGATCGCCTGGATCCGCGCAGCTCGTCTCCAGCTCAGAGAGAGTTTCGGCTCGGACTTTCCTGTTCTGCGTCTGCACTCTGACAGAGGCGGAGAGTTCTCCTCTGACCTTCTGCGAGCCTTCTGTCGTGCACGAGGCATCCGCCAGACCTTCACGCTTCCGGACTCTCCGCAGCAAAATGGGATTGCTGAGCGCCGCATTGGCATGGTCATGGACGTCGCTCGTACGTCCATGGTCCATGCGGCTGCCCCCCATTTTCTGTGGCCGTTTGCGGTTCGGTACGCGGCGCATCAGGTCAACCTTCAGCCCCGGGTCTCCATGCCGGAGACCTCCCCTGCTTTGCTGTGGACGGGGAAGGTTGGCGATGCGTCTGCGTTCCGTGTCTGGGGATCTCGGGCGTTTGTCCGCGACTTGTCTGCGGACAAGCTGTCCCCTCGTGCTGTTCCCTGCGTCTTCCTTGGCTTCCCCCCTGACGCGCCGGGCTGGCAGTTCTACCACCCCACCTCGCGCCGTGTTCTGTCCTCCCAGGACGTCACGTTTGACGAGTCGGTTCCCTACTACCGTCTCTTCCCCTACCGCACTGCGTCCCTCCCCCCCCCGCCGCTCTTCCTTACGCCAGGTCCCCCTCCGGTAGACCCCCTCCCCCCTCAGGGTCCTGCCCCCTCAGGTGTGTCTCAGGTAGACGCAGTCGACCCTGTCGAGGTAGCTGTTGACTCTGGTGTTGCTAGGGGTACTGAGCCTGGGGGTGCTGAGCCTGGGGGTGCTGACTCTGGGGGTGCTGAGCCTGGGGGTGCTGACTCTGGGGGTGCTGTGCCTAGGGGTGC